TATGGTCGAGGTTAGCGCCTAGTCGTTTTACTGCTTCAATAACTTTTCAACAAAAAACTGGTCTTCTGACAGTCTAGATTTTTGTGTTTACTAAACCGAATTAAAACTAAATTTCCTATCGCTTTTTCGTAAGATCTAAGGCTCGGTGAGTGGCCCAGACAGTTACCTGTCCCGCACACAGACTATATAGTAATAACAATAATGGTATCTATCCACCCTTTGATGCGTATTACTCATACAATTGTGAGAAACGTCTTTGACTGAGATTATCTGTTTTCGTTGCATTTTGCTTAACCAAACTGCTTCTCCCATATTATAATAGTTATTTTGAATCTCACACTGATTTCTATTCATTTTTGTCTTTTTATTGTACTCATCTGTCCTTTTCTTCACAACCTCATTTTCATTATGGCGCTTATATATTTGTAGCCCCTTTGTACCAATGTTTTGTGTTAAGTAAAATTGTGTGTCTACTATCATTATAAGACTGAATAAATGAACCATGATAAGTATCTAATAGCTAGCGTTAAAGTTTTTAAGCCGTTCTTCCAGTTTCAAATGCTAATCGGGAAAGTTTGAAAAACTACTTACCTTTGGCAAATGACATTGAATGGGTAGTGCGTTCATTAAAAGTGCGCTGTCTCAAAACATTGAGTACATCTAAATCATGCTAATTGAGCATGTTTTGAAATATAATTAATTATATGCCGAGCTTAGTTAGCATTTCGTAACAGTAATTCACATGTTTATATATTCTTAGGTACAATTTTTTCATATAATGTGAGGTAGTTGAATACATAAGCCTAAATCATTTAATATATTATCCTAAACGTCTCAAAGAGATAATCACATTTCTTACTAGGTAATGAAATGTACTGATACTCTCTATTTGTGGTGCAACTGTTGGACATGCACAAAAAGAGCTGGTTATGTGTTTGTTTTAACTACATTAAGACTGTCTTACTGTTTTTGATCCTGATATTTTTAAAAAAATTAATGAAGACTGACTTTTATAATCCATACGCAAACATGCAAATGTAATCACTGCTTATATCTTAAATCTTGGAAAGTTTTCGAGTTCTTTTCAGTCTGTTTTAATTTCAGTATATATATATATATATATATATATATATATATATATATATATCCCTTTAAAGTGAATAACATGTTCATTTACGTGATTTATTACTCAGTCATGTCAGTATTTACTAAATATTACGGTATGATTCATTGTTCGAGATTATATTGTTGCTGGAAATTCCTCCTTGTCTTTTAGACTGCAATGGAAACCAAAAACCGATCACACTTTCATGTCACATATTTATAAAAGCTTAACGCTTGAAATTTATCTTCTCGAGGAATCGTTATTTCATCTACATATCGGATTTTATTTTCTTAATACAATCTTGTAAATTATTTGAAATTTATGGTCAAAGGGAACCTATGGTTCAGAAATATTTAGATTTTCATTTTATAGCAAAACCACCAATATATTAATGTGTGTACTTTTTCAAGTTATACTCGTTGAAAGTAGATCTATTGGTTTTCAAGGTCATATCCACATGCAAGGCTGTATAGTATTGGTGTGCACTGTTTGTTTGTCAACTGCTAAAATGTAAAATACTTAAATTGATATGCACTATGATTGGTATTGAAAATGATTTCTAAACATACGATGATTTAAATTAAAGCTTTTCTGATTTAACCAATATTTACGCAATGACAAATAAGAATTCACTAGAACCTGACCAAAGTTTTAACAGGTTTATAATTTTCTTCTTAGTTTCATTGGGTCGCCTGCTATTGAAGGTTTACTGTTTTATATAAAGTGATTGCTAATTTCCCAGAATATTATCTTTTCGAACAACTTTAGTTTTAAGGAAGTAATAGTTTCAAAGATCTATTCATTTTCTTTGTTATTGATTATTTGAATCCTATTTACAAAATATTTCTAAAATTTAAACCTGATATTATTTCAATTGTTTTTTATTGTATAAGGGTTGAAATATTGTAGGTAGAAACATCCAATGTAAATCCTATTAAAAATTCAAAAATTGAGTTATTCAATGAGTTGAATCAACAGGACTTATTTTATGTACTTATCTCACCTTACGTTATATTTGGTTAACGTTTTCATCAGTTTGTCCTTAAAAATTATCTGTTTTCTAGTTTCCTTATTATCTAATTTTTACGTAAATTTAAAATACGAATGTTTATATCCCGTCGAATTTATTTGAACGTTTTCACCGAACGCTTGCAAATATGAATGTTAGAGTTTGGTTGTTTTGCTTATTGACTTTTGGGATTTCTTTTATGCAAGTTTTTTTTCTAACCAGACCAAGTAGTCTCTTGAAGAGTCCTGACATCTTCAAATGACCGGCTCCAATAATTTTGATATTCAAACTAACCTACTTATAAGCCTACTGTTTCAGGCTTTAATACGAGAGTATATTTTGTTCCCACCTATCGCTCCTCATCGCTAGTATATTTGTATGACAGTCCATACTTTTCTTGCGTTCATAAATTAACCTTATCTTCAGGTTTTAATTAGCTAAACAATGTTAAAAACTTGGTTTGGGATTCATAAAAGCTTCTTCTGTATTCCGTTCTGCACTTTTAATTTTCTCAAAAGACTTGAGAATCTCTAGTGCTAAGCATGTATATCCCTAATACTGCAATATAAGTCGATTGTCATCTTCAAGCAAACTTATTTTAATTGAAACAAATTTAATTGTAAATTAGAATAGTAAATATAAGTTGATGAAAAATGTGTGAATCGAACGGTCATAGATGTCTACTGAAGTGCGAAATAAGGACCCGTAGGATTTTAATGTAGATATAAAGTTGCTAATCACAATGAAAAAAAGCATTTTTTAAATAACATCTCTATTATTAAAGGTTATCACTTGATTAGAGTTTATGAAATATATCTATGTACCATGCCTTCCTCGCTATTAACTCAAATTTTCTGATTGTCGCGTCATTTCGAGTAATTATGCGCATTTTGATTGGATATTCAAGGTTGGATTCATACTACTGGTTGTATAAAATTGTATTTTACTCAATGCATCAACATTTTCGCTTATGTAGCCATAAATATAGCGAGAAAAGTTTATATATTTTAAAATCAATCAAAATTTACGTCAAGATGTCGGTAATATAACCAGCTGTTGTAATTGTGTCTCGCTAAAGCTTGTTTCTTCTAATTCGCTAACAGTCAAAAAAATAAACAGACCACGTACTTTTTCATATAAAAAAACTTTATAGTTCAGTTAATTTCAACTGAATCGTTTTCATATACGGTGCATTTTAATCTACTTCCATCACCTTAAATGTCAAAATTTCGGATCGTAACAACATGGGCAGTTTACACTATTGTGGCTCATTTAGCATGAAGACTATTTCTAAAAAAACTCATTTTTAATCCATTTTATTCTCTGATCACAAAGACTTTATTAGTAACATTTCAACCAACCAAGTAACTCATCTGTAGGCTTATAAATTCAAGTTTGGTATGTGCGAGTAACAAGTTTTAGGTTTGTCAATGCATTCGTATATTCACTGATGTATTGCGTGTTGCAGTACTGTTGCTTACATAGTATTCAATCATTCATCTCATCTAGGCTTAAGGATGTATTTAATGAAAATAAACTTTTGTGATATCAACACATTTTTTCTACTTCTGACTGTCTAGATTTCAGTGCAACACTACAGCTGACGTTTCAATCATTGATTTATCGCATTGTGCTACCCACTTTCCAGGAAGTCTGCATCTACCTTCACAGGCTAGACCAATAATTAAGGACTTCACTGACTGATGTTACGTCTTGGTGTGACCGATAATATCTTCCTGCCCACCCCTTACTACTTTGCTGGACAACACTGCACGTTCAGACAGGCGTTGGTTGAATTATGTGTTCTATCTGAAGTTCGCACTGATGATTTGAAAGAAGAGAGCAAAAGCTTTATGAATACAACTGCTAATTCAGAGAACGCAATTCCAACATAATAATTCCACTAGGGCTAAAAAATTTCTCTCTTAACTCCCGTTTTATAAATTCATTTCTGTGTAATGAGTTCAAAGTATTGTTTTACAATAAGCTTGTAACTCAGTTCAATGAACTCGAGAAAAGAATAAATAGGTTAGAAATAAACTCAAAGCCTTCCAGTACACCTAGCCAGCAAAACAGAAACTTATAAATCCGGTTCCCTAAAGTGTGTCACTGGCTAAGACTGTGGGTATTCATAATTCTTTTAGTTCATAGTTAACTAAAACACTTTAAAATCTTTTATTTAAGTTTCAGTAGAATAAAAAAATAAATCAGTTTTGGTCGTAGACATTGTATGAAATCTAGGTTTAATAGTGGAGTGCTTATAAAGTTTAAAATTTTCTTTATTTGTTATCGATCGCTCAAATTCATGGTGAGAAAATAACGATCATAAAAGAAGCTAAAGTCTTATGTTTCTGTTGACCTATATGGTAAGATGCATTGATTTTTCGTGTAAAGAACCATAAGTTCATATTTCACTCTCATTTTTTTGGAAAGATCCAACTTAGGGCATGTGATTATATGAGAATTACTGTCCAAAATCTAAAAATGTAATAGATTCGTATGCTGTCACCCACGTTATTGAACTGTGATGTGCATGCAGTCATTCAACTAAAAGAAGTTTCTAGGTAACTGTGAAACAAAAATGTCCTTAAGTGCTGCATTGACATGTATTTAAAAAAATAATTGAGACGTTTTAATGTTTATGGCTTTATCAAGTAACATGTGGATAAATGAACTGAAAAATCTGATGCATTTATTCTCGCTAGTAAGTGACGTCACCCTATGGTTCTATTAATCCATGTGTCACTTTATTAATTGACTACCTCTACTACATTTTATTTTTTATTGTGATTTCGTTTTTGTTCTTGCTAAACACCAGCGTTTTGACTTATTTTTAAACAACAATTGATCTTTGTTTCAGTGCCCAGTTTTTCTTCCATTTATTAGGTAGACTTATTATTGTTCAAATGGATTCGTAGTCGTTGAATTTGTAAGTATATATTCAACTTTTAAGTTTGCTTTTCAGTTTCATTTTTTTGTACTATATTTGTTTTTTCATATAAAAAAAAACTATTGTCAATAATCTTTCTGGAAGGAGTAAATATGTACTGCACGCTACACATCACTAGGGTGATTAAAATAAGTAGTAAATTACTGATTTGATATTTCGAATGTGTAATTTTGTACCCATAAATTACACCCAAAATGTTAGATTTCGACCTTACCCTTTACTCAATAAGACATTTCATAGTATCACTTCTATGATCTTCAGCTTAATCCTTAATTCATCTCTTCTGTATGATATTTCATAACTTTCAGATAACTGGGTATTTAAGATTTAATGTATATGAATTCAACAGAAACATTTTGCGTACTTTTTAGCTCAATTCTTTTGAACTGTTTTATACATTGGTTTCACGGACTTTTTCTCAAATAAAGGTTGCTGGAGTCCTTGTGGTTGGAAAAAATCCCAAATAATCTAATGTATTAGTCACAAGTACATTCCGCAATACAATGTAGACAATATCTTACTGTAGGTGTAACTTCAGAAGCTTAAGTTGCTTAGTAAAGTCATATATTTTTTATACTAAATTTTCACGTCTTTTATGAATTCAGTAATCGATTGTTGTATTTCTTGACAATTTATGGAGATCTACAAAATAAATCAATTTTGGGTTCATTAAACTGTTGGTTTGTCAGTTAACGGTTTCCTTAAGTTGAAAGTCCAAATAAATTTAATGTATTGACTGTCAAACTAGTGTTTTATCATTTCCGGATAACTAGTATGTCCGTTACTATAAATTTTGGTGTCTATTTTTCATTCACTTTACATGTGATTGATTTCATTACCCACTCTTTTTCTCTCAGATAACAGGATAATCTTGTTGTAATCTGCGATATCATATTTGATTTTGGTGGTGAAATCTCCTGACATACTCAACTATTTCTAGACAAAGTGAAGGAAAAATTCTAAATGCTGTTTTATGACTAAATAACCAGTATTTGAGTTTCTGAACATAGATGTTGAATGCAGTATCTGCATTTTCTAACAATTTATATGTACTGCATTCAAGAAACTATAAAAGACCTCTTTCTACGGAATTTATTACACAATGAATAATCACTTGAAATGTTGGGTTCTTTGAATATAGTCAAAAAATCAAGTAACCTAACCCACTATATTTCACTTTCCCTAAACACCATGGAGTGATAATCTACGACTTGTCGAAAATAACCTCAAATACGTATTCGGAGAACATAAGTAGCATACATTCCCAATTTATTAATATTTAAATTTTTTTTTAAATCAAATGATAAAAACATTTAGATTATTCTAAAATTACTATACGGGCAATTTTCCAATGTTCTTTATTTCTATTCCCTAACTTACAACTAAAAAGCTATCATTTCTTATTCGAAACATTTCAGTCAAATGTATTGAACTAAGGAATTGCAAACAAATTCGGTATTCTTGCTCATACTCTTAATAGAAACAACATCCTTCATTGTTAGGAATGCGCCAATGGGAATAAATCAAAACTGTACATATCGTCGTCTGGAGTAATTTTTTTACAATTCTGTCTCTCTGCTCTTTGGGTAGCATTGAGCTGATTTCAGCGTGAAAATGTGCTAATTTAAAAAACAGCGCAATTTTTTATCTCATGCATGTTTATATGTTTTACTGTCAAATAGCATTCAATGTGACGTGCAAGATCGCTCAGAAGTAAGGAACTCATGAATAAGTCTTCACATTTGTAAAAATTCAAAGCATTTGGACCGTATTTTAATTTCTTACTGCTCTGTTTTCTTATAATAAAGCAGTCAATCACGCTCTTTAAATGGAACCAATTGACCTGCATTCTGACAACGGCCTAAATATATTCTTCAAACATATAACATTGATTGAATTATACGATTAATCGAAAAACTAGTTCTCAATCTAAGAAAAATAATTTTCCACGTCTTTGATGTCAACAGGTGTTTTTATGTACGAATGTGAACTAACTGGTAGAAATCTAGGGTCTGTACTGTATAATACGATAAGAAGGATTCTTCCTAATTATTATCTATTCCTATCTAATTGACGGATGGAGATGAATTACACTGGTGGCGGTATTGTACTCAGGTTAGTTTCGCTAGATAGTACATGTCAGTATATTGATTCAAAATATTTCAGTATTTTCTATCTAATGTAATGGCTAAATTCATTTTCGCTTCAACTGGCAAGGTTGTTCCATCTCTGATTTAAATGATTCAAATGTTTTACACTACTGTCTATGTTAGGTTTTCGGAGGTATTCGAAAAAATCCCTGGACTAAGACTTTGTAGCAGTCACATTGAAATTATTTTCTTCCCTGTCTGAAATTCATTGAAACAACACTGACTGTTACGACACCCACGAATCTAATAATAAACTTCTAATTGACTGAAACGTGAGTGACCCACAAATTAATTTCCTCTAATCCCGTATAACGCTTCATCATGGTTACTTTTTGGTATTAATATAAGCATGCTATTACACGAAAAATCAGTCATCTGATCAAGGGTTTATTTGATTTAAAATCACTCAGAGGCTTCAACTAGTAATTAGATCTCGTGACTAGCCATCACTAAGAGACATCGTATCATTGTATATTATCAATCAATGAATGTTACTTCTCTTCATTTTAGTAATTAAATAGTCATTCCTCTATGACGCTGATATAAATAACATATTATAGCATAATTAATCAAACTAGGATTCAGTGACTGATTAGAATAGTGCCTCCTTCTTTTTGGATCCTGTTGTATTTTTCTTGAAAATTATTGTTGATACTTGTTTTTAAATTTTAGTAACATATTTATGGTAATTTTTTATTTCAGGTTAACCAATATAAAATTATTTAATTGAAAGTTTGGCATCCACAAAGAGGTATGTTAATTATCTGCTGAAATATTCAATACGATATATCATCTGTGACACAAATGACTTAGAAAAATCTATATTATCAAATGAGATATTGATGATAGTAAGTCAGTCGCTATAACCACTGTTATTTCCTAGTGAAGTTTTATTTATTAGTAACTTTTGAGAACAATTAGTGGACTAATATTATATATATATATATATATACTGATTGTATAACTGTTCGGTAGCTAGATTATGTATATTTATATTCCTCTTCTTATAAGCTTCATTTTGACCTATAAACTATAATGATACGATTAACTGTTCTTAAGTTATGCCCAGTTTATTAGTTACCATCTTCCACAATCACAGCCACTTTTTGGTCTGATTTTGTGGTGTGTTGTTTTCTGTTTGGCTCGTTTATAAACCAAGTATGTTTGAAATAAATGATTCGTATAATGGGAGCTGGTATTGGTGTTCTGGACTGAACTGGCAGGACTAAGCGGAAAAAGATCAATAAGGACGCTAGGTTGTACATACCGGTCGATACGTCATTGGAGTGGCACAGTGCTGAGATTGTATAAGTCGTGTTCCGATTGGCAAATAAGTTAAGTGATAGTTTTGCCGAGCTAAAAGTCACAACAGCCAAATAACCAACTCTCAAATGATTTTAACTTCTGTATATGAAATGTATAGATATGTCTATTTCTGTACATAATTTCTTACCGTTTTGACATACCTGAACATTTTTTCTCTTACAGTATTTAGTTTTCCGAAGTAAATAATTAGATCTTAAACATACCTGCAACTTTGCAACTAAGACGGTTTCTTCACTGAATTTCAGTTATTTGAAATCTGTGACATTGATTAAGTACTCCGAAAAGAGTTTTGCATCGAGTGTATGTGGCAAGTTGAAATAATTTTATCGATTTAAGTTTCTAAGCTTACGGCTAAATGACAGATGGGCAAGACTATAATCTATGGACCAGCCTATGAAATTAAATATAGTACATGTTAGCTTTTTGCGCGAGATGTATTTGTCCATATGGTTAGATAGAATTTTCACATTATGTTGTATGCCATTTCGTGGTGAAAACTCTATTTAGCTAACTCGAAACCCTAATTCCTCCCACCAACTTATAACCATCTTCTAACTTTAGCAATTAGGTGGGTATTCCCAAGGTCACTTAAGCATCGCTCAAATGTCATCTATAAATTATATTCTCACCATAAGATCTGGTTTTCCATTTCAATTCCTTTAATCTGAACAGTCTAAAACTGTTAGTTCACTGGGTTCACTTTTGAAAATAATTTTCATATGAACTGGGAATATATTTATCAATTTAGAAAGCTCCCACTCCATCCAAAAATCTCTTTGGTTCTAGACTGTTTTAGACGGGTGTCAAAGATTACGTTAATTAAAGAAAAACAAAAATGTTATCAGCATCTTATAATTTAATAATTTTCCTACATATATTATTCACAATATACAAACAAAATGTTCTTTGGTTTAATAGTAATAAATGGAATAAACTATCATAAGTTGGTATTTTGATTATTTCACAGCGTCATGGCGCGACAGAAAAACCAAAAAAGAATCCTAAGATTACACAATGAACAATTTCCATAAAATGAAGAACACTTCGAGATGCTTGAATTTGAATAAAAGTTATCATTTTTGCCCCTGTCAGTTACCACGTGACAAAATCGCCAAGGTTTGACTTGATAATTTTGAGTAAATTGAGCATTGGGTAGATTGCTATAAATAAATGATATATTTGTAATATACAATGAGTAGAAAAATTAGATTTTCTGACGTTTCGTGACTTAGTGTAAGCCACTTCATAGAATAAATAAATAACCAAATCAAAATTAATCCAAGTTTAAATAATACGAACGGAACAACAAAGATATTATGTGATCTCTGTGTTAAACCAGTGACACGTCAACCAGCACCAGTGGTCTTGAATCAACTCTGAATCCTTTTCAATCTTGGATGTAATAGATTTTCGCCTAGCCTTGGCCGTCGAGTCCAGAACATAATATTCGCCACTACTGTATGAATAATAAGTTTCAGACATACGTATTTTACATACAAACAGACCAGACCGCATCACACTATAAAATGAAAATTAATAGTTATACAAGATCAAGCTAAAAGTGGCTGTGAGTATACGAGACTGTAAGTAATAGATTGGGAATAAATTAAGAATGGTAAATTGTATAACAATTGCCAATAGGTGAAATGAAAGCTTATGATAAAAGAAATATAAATATGTATAACCTTGTTACGTAATAGCTACACTGTATGAATATATATAGTGACATTCTATTAATCATCTTCGGATGCATCGAAATCCCTATTACTCCCATACAGACTAGGATTTATAGATTGTGATCCATTCTATATTGAAGAGTCTTCTCATAAAGTTGTGAATTGTGCCAAAGAACATGTAAGCTACACGAAAGGACCTGCAAATAATACTGTAGATATGAAAAATCAAATTAGCAATAGCAGTATATGTTATTTTTAACAACCATAAAATTAACATTAATATCAAAATAATTCGAAAAGATTTTCCAATTATTAAGAAACTGAAATGCCTGAAATTTTCCATACCTAGTAAACCATAATTCACTTCATACAAAAGAAGGCCAAACAATCCATTTAGCGTAGATCATTTGTTCAAATAAATCCACACATTTATGTTTGAACTTCACAGCAGTAACAAACATACAAATGTTCCTAACCTTTCTTCTACATTACAAATATTGCAATTTTCTTTCCAACTAACAAATTCACACCTAGATCACCTACAGAATAAAAACGACTTGACTGAAGTGACAGTATGAACGTGATCCGACCTATTTTAATTTTGACCAAACTAAGAAAACATTCTCCATTATGTACTTTGTACTATTTAAAATTGTGTTAGTTTACTTTAAAATATTGAGATTTCCCATATTGTGGATTAGAACCGCATATGTATAAACAAACCATGAGGACATACTTGT